ATTTCTGAATGAAATATAAAGAAATTAAAATAAAATAAAAGAATATGTTTTGAACTAATTTAAAAACTAATTTAATTTTAATTTGAACTAATTTAATAAATAGATTTAGATATGAAAGATACATAAATCATGCACAGAATAAATCAAAATAAAGATATAACAAAAATGCAATATATGATGATTTGAACTATGTATTTAACTAAATCTAAAAAAGATTATAAACTATCAACTTACCCGCCAGACGCATCGTCAATGTGGTCGATGTGAAGTACTTGAAGGCCAGCGCTAGTCCTTCAGTATCGAAGTTGACGGCAACGTCAAGAGGATCCCGCATAGATGACCAGACGAAGTCAGCCATGGCTCGAGTTGCGGCCGAGCGCAGATTCTGGTCGGAGAGCTTACACATATATTGTAGAATGCGGCTGCGCAGCGGGACGAACAGCTGCGTGTTGCAATGATAGTTGAGCCACAGTTTCACATTGGACACTGTGGCAGTCATGGAGTGAGCCGTAGATACCGGCAAATCTGGGTGCTCGAAGCACAGCGACATCGCACCAAAGCCGCCTGAATTGCAGAACAGGCTCACGTTGCGCAGCAAGTATATGGGAAGATCATTGTCGTGCAGATCACAGATTAGAGCCAAGTGGTGCGCTTCCTCCGCTTGTAGATCGTCCAGGCGCGAGTGCATGCCATGCTTGTGGGCAATGTACAGCGGAAAGTTGAGCAGAAATACCTTGGATACGAGCACCAGCAGTTTCTCCACCTCGGGCAGTATCCACGGCTCTTCTGTGTATTGTGGGTGAGCCTTGCTGCTGGTTGGTGGGGCTGGCGGTGGTGGAGATGGCGGTTTCTTGGGCGGACCTGGGCCATCGCCAGATGCACGTTTCTCCTCATTGCCGCCAGCCTCTGCAGGAGTTGACCTATTTTCGTCGCCAGCCGACGGTGGTGAACATGACGATGAAGACGTCAGTTCCTTTTGCTTGTTCTCGCTTTCTGTATCATTTTCATTGTTCTGTGGATGCTTATCGGATGAGGGCTTTCGCTGTGCTTGGGCAACAACTTGGGCAGCGCTGGCGGTGAGCCGCTTGTAGCTATCGATCAGATGATCAATATGCTTCAAGTGCTGCACGGTCAGACAGATGAGCGACTGAACAACTAGGTTAAATCGGTCATAATTTTTGTTATCCCGGTACAAGCACATGCATTGCCGCTGCGGCCACGATTGAATGTAATTAAATGTTGTCTCGATTTCGCTCTTTAGGAGCAGCTGAAACTTAAGTTCCGAACTGGCCACGCGAACCTCATCTGGAAAAGTAAAATAAAAAAAGCAAAAAACAAAACAAAAAAATATTGTATGTACACACAGGGGGAGGGGCAAAAGTAGGCGCAACTTTATGCAGTTGTCACGGCATAAATGCCGACACATTTTGAGCAGAAATATTTTGTTGTTACTTACAGAGTTCCAATAGATTTTGGAAATCGGCGCAAACTTCGCACATTGCTCTAGTTTGTGCGGCTCCACGGGAAGCCGTAGCTGCTGCTGCTTCTACTTGTGAAGATCCGTTTGCTTTGCCGTTGCCGTCGCCGTTGCCGTTGTCGTTGCCGTCGCCTCCTCCGCCTCCACCAGCGTTCGCCGTTGTCGCAAAGTGCAATTTGTTGGTGGGCTTTTACTCGATCTCTTCAGTCGTTCGCAGCGTCCATGCAATTCCATTTATATTGCGCACTCAATGCCACTCACTCTCATACACACAACACGCACTTGTCTAACATTGCATCCAAAAAGTACTCTTAAATTCTAGTAAATTTTTATGAATTGATATATTTTCTAGATATATTTTCTGTCGATAGGAAACATCGCTACTAGACGAACGATAGACCACCATAGAATGAGGTGGCCAGACGATGATTTTGCAAATGCAGCCCTGTATAGAACTTCAGCATGCTATGTGTAAAATAAAATAATAAATTTTAATATACCACAGTAGATTTAAAAATACAGTCTTATGGCGTTTTTGTACTTCTTAAAGGAAATATTAAATACATTTTATTTATTTCTATATGAAGTTAACTGCAAATACCCACCGCTCAACATCAGCTGTTCCTTAATACGATGTTATCACAAAACAGACAATTAACGGCTCTTCAATTTAACTCGAAAGTTCTTTCAGATATACATTACTAAAAATAGTGTGTTCATAACTATATTTTCTGTTCACTACGTCGGAATAAACGTATTAAGCTTCAAAACGGTTATTAAACTGTAATTTTCGCCAAAAGAATACTCCAAAATAGTTTTGTAGTCCACGCTATTAGTATTTCACTGACTGTTAAATTAACAGTTAGGGTGACCACACTTTATGCCCATAGATCGAGTTTCGATAAATCGCCGCCGCTTTGGCAATTCATTCTGCTAGCCGCATTCATTTGTTTACATATTTTGTGAATAAAAAATCCAACTAGATACTATTATTTAACATGGACGAGTGCGTAATGGAGAGCAGCTCACCCACTGAAACCAACCCAGAGCTCGGCTTCAACATGGAGGATGAGAAAATGCAATTGCAAGACCATCGCGCTTCCGCTGCTGCCGGAGTCACTGCAGAAAGCGGAGACAGGCAGGCGGCAGCCGGCGTTTGTTACTGGTGGGCGCATGTGACCATATATTTGCTTTGATAAGCACAATAATGATTGTTTACGTTCTGCATTTCTAGTGGCAAGGAGCGCAACCTGAATGTGATCGAACTGCTATGCGCAACATGCTCGCGCTGGATTCATGAGACCTGCATTACCTATCAGCTGGGAAAGGGCAAGCTCTTGCCTTTCATCACAAACTACATATTTGTGTGCAAAAACTGTTCGGCCACAGGCCTGGAGAGCTTTCGCAAGAACCAAGCGAGTAAGTGCCGCTAGACATCAAGTCGCGCTGACCCAATTCTTTATTTTGTGTACTTGCCTTGCCTTTAGCCATGACTCAGATGTTTCAATGTGCCATTGCCAATATGCAGCAGGCGGCTCTGCGCGAGGGCAGGTCTCAAATACAGTTTAACAAGGACAAGGAGATCATACCTTATATTGAACAGTTCTGGGAAGCAATGACAACGATGCCTCGTCGTCTGACCCAGACCTGGTACGCGAACGTGCAGCGCTCCCTGGTTAAGGACATAAACAATTTATTTGTCTACGAGGAGCATGGGGACCAGGGAGCTATGTATGGATTGTTCCACCAGGACTTGCGTCTCATCAAACCGAACTATGAGATTATGAGCAAAACTGGCGCCTTGCGTCTCACAGAGGACGGCTATATACAAGGTAAGATTTGATAGTTTTTTATATCCACTTATTTTATTTATATTATTTAGATTTTATTTCCCTTCATTTCATAAAATATATTTGTTTGTCGTATAGAGTATGTAAGATTCGGTGTTTTGCTTGCCGTTAGTTGCGCTCATTTTTGTTTTGCCTGCCATTCGTTACAGCTGACACCGCACAGTGTGATTAGAGTGTTGCAAAAGTTGATGCAAATTCATGCAAACACAATGAGCGATGTTTTTATCGCATTCTGTTTTGAAAGCTCTTCCAAACAAAGTAAACGAAGCCAGCATGTGTTTACCGTTTGTGTATGTGTATGCATGTGTGTGTGCGTATACGTTATCTCATTCACTTGAATTCAAGCAGGTCCGCCCAGAGAGCAGCAAGCATTTTAATTTGCTTGTTTTGGTTAATTTATTGTTTCAAGCGGTGGCGGCACCGTGGAACGCGACCGCACTTCGGGTGGCAGTGTCTATTTTGTATTCTCTCTTTTTTTGTGTTTCTCGATTGCTCACACTTTTCGCTCTCGCCGTGCTTTTCGCCATTCAGTGGAAGCGAAAGCTGATCGTAATTACGTTTCGCGGCATTTTCTTATTTCTTGTTCGTCGTCTCTCGCTTCACATATGTACGCCCACAAAACAGAAAAACTAGAAGAACATAAAATAAACAAACAATCACAACTGACACCCACCAAGACTGAAGGCGAGAGAGAGAGAGAGAGAGATAGATAGAGAGGGATGGTCGGCAACACTCATTGAACCCAATTTCATGAATATAATAAATAGCTGCGTTCTATTTTATTGTTCCGTGGCTCGTTAGGTGTTCGTGTGTCAATTGATTAAAAGCACATCGCAATTAAGGCGATAAGTTGTCCTTGCGATGACGTCAACACTGAGCGCCGCGTCGTTTGCCAGCAGCGAAGAAGATTGTGAGTTGGGAGACTTTTTCACCGTCGTCAGATTTCCAGCACACAGCATTTTGTTGTTTGCATATCGCAATTCAAATTGCCTTTTTCGCATTACACGCCCCAAGTCACGTACGGCTTCTTATAAACTTTTCTCTTGTATCATATTGCAGCGACGCTTGCTAAGAACAACAGACAGAAACGCAAATTTCCTGGCACCGATGCGGGTCCAACGGGCAAAAAGGGTCGCCCCAGCTCGGATATTACGGCCAATGTAAAGCTACCTCCGCACGGCTATCCGCTCGAGCATCCATTTAACAAGGACGGATATCGTTACATACTTGCGGAGCCGGATCCGCATGCCCCATTCCGCCAGGAGTTCGACGAGAGCTCGGACTGGGCCGGCAAGCCCATACCTGGTTGGCTCTATCGCACACTGGTGCCGCAATCCGTGCTGCTGGCACTGCACGATCGAGCACCCCAGCTGAAGATCAGCGAAGATCGTCTGGCAGTAACTGGAGAGCGAGGTTATTCGCAAGTGCGCGCGACACACTGTCAGTCGCTCTTATCATGTTATTTCGAATTGAAATTGGAATCCGAATTGTTTTGCTTTCAGCTGTGAACCGTGGCTGCTGGTACTATGAGATCACCATTGAGGAGATGCCCGAGGGCGCTGCCACGCGCGTTGGCTGGGGTCGAGAGTACGGGAATCTGCAGGCGCCGCTGGGCTACGACAAGTTCGGCTATTCGTGGCGGTCGCGCAAGGGCACAAGGTTCACTGAGAGCCACGGCAAGCACTACAGCGAAGCTTACGGCGAAGGCGACACACTTGGCTTGCTCATCGACCTGCCCGAGTTGCCAGAGATAGACTATCTGCCCAACACATTCAAAGACCGCGTGGGTTTATCTGTGAATTGATCGATTGCCGGAAACTTCTTTAATGAAACTTCTCGTTTCGTTCCAGCCTCTGGTGAAGTTCAAGTCCCATTTGTACTACGAGGACAAGGACAAAATTACTGAGACCCTGAAGAATCTGCAGATCCTGCAAGGCAGTCGCATCGAGTTCTTCAAGAATGGCCAGTCGCAGGGAGTCGCATTCGAGGACATCTACATGGGCAGCTACTTTCCGGCCATTTCGATACACAAGAGCGCTACAGTCAGCGTGAACTTTGGCCCGGCTTTCAAGTATCCAGAGGTGTTGGCTAACCGCAAAGCAAAAGGCGTAAGTTGCTCGAACGGAATAAGGAATGAGGATGCGCAAATGGATAGATTGCAAGAAGCCATACATAGTTTTACTTATAATATGATATCTCTTCCTTTCCCTCTTACTAGATGAATGATCGCGTGGAGGAGCTGATCACAGAGCAGTGCTTAGCAGACATGCTATACCTTACGGAAAACGATGGTCGACTGCGTCTGGACAACATGAGTCTGTGAATTGAAGCAGCTTTCATTGTTATGCATGATCAAACAAGAGTTTTGGCATAACAACTAGCGCCTATAGTAAACTATATTAAACTGTAATAATTTCTAGAGTTTTTATAATAAAATGTATTTTTAGGAAACAAATATTTAGCAGAGATAATGTGTTAAGAATGTATATCATATCAAAATGCTGTCTAGAATATTTAAAACAAGATCAGTTCAAAATGTTTAATAACTCATAATTATAGATAGTCGAGCTTGCCATAATCGTACTCGTC